GGATCATGGCAGCTGATGCCATGACACTTACAAAGAATATCTTCTGTTATTAGATTTCATCCTGAGTTATACCTGTACAGGTTATATACTAAGGTATGCATTGAAGCAATTAGTCAAATACCTGGTTGGTTGGTTTTTACAGGTGCATATTTGAACCTCTGTGTTGATTTGGGAGCTGATTAGTGCCTACAGTGGTGACTCCAGTTTATGAATGTGGGATATTGTGTTTCTGTACCCACCATTCAAAAAGCCAGGAAGCCCGTGTTGTTAGTAGTAAAAAAGATGCCAAGGTTTATATAGCAAAGGACAGTTTGAATGTTGACAACACCAATGGCAGCAACTAAGATGGTCTACAGCAGTGGTCCCCAACCTTTTCTGACTGGTTGGGGGGGCACCGCCGTGCTCACAGGTGGGTAGGGAATGCTCACAGAGTGGCAGAGCATGCTAGCGCACATGCACAAAGGGGCAGGGTGCATTCGTGGAGGGGCCGGGGAGGAACGGGGTACCAGTGTGTGCAGGTGGCAGGCCATGCATGCAGGTGCGGTGGCTGGGGGGAATGCATGCGAGGGGGGTGGGAGATCTGTCTCCACGGCCCAGTCCTGCCATGGCCACGGACCAACACTGGGGCACGGACTAGGGGTTGGGGACCCCGCATTAGAAGACATTGTTTTTAACAGTCTTACGGGAAAGAAAGGTATAACCAAGTAACCCTAGAGCATTTACTACAATGCCTTACTCTAGAGTAAGTTAGTGATGTAGCTTTTGGTTCAGCTTCATTGTCTTTTCAGGGGTGGTATGCCTCAGTGGTATGAGAGCATGACTATGGCTGCTAAATTGTAGCCTAGGGATTTTCCTTGTGCCTTTAAATTCATTACTGGATTAGCAGAAGAGCCTCCAGCAGTTTCTCCTCCACTTTCCCACCTGCTGAGCAGCACGCATGATAGCAAGTCACTACTGTGGGCATTGTTCAACTCTTAGAGCAATGCAGAGAGTCAGCTTAGGCAAGAGTACAAAAAAGGGCTATTTTATGAGCTGTATGCCTTATCAGGAACTACGTACTAATTATACCAGTTATGTTCAGCTGGAAACAGTAAAGTTTTTAAAAGACTCATTGTTCCATTTGCAAGAATCTACAAAGTGTCAATTTTCCAGATAGACGTTAACGCCAAACTTTAGTATTGCTTGATGAATTTTACGTGACATACTATTACCAAACTAAGGCTGANGCAGCTGATGCCATGACACTTACAAAGAATATCTTCTGTTATTAGATTTCATCCTGAGTTATACCTGTACAGGTTATATACTAAGGTATGCATTGAAGCAATTAGTCAAATACCTGGTTGGTTGGTTTTTACAGGTGCATATTTGAACCTCTGTGTTGATTTGGGAGCTGATTAGTGCCTACAGTGGTGATTTACATTACTATTATTAGCAAGGCCCATGAGCTGAAATATAAAAATAACCATACTTCATGTCTAAGTCCTTAGTATGCTACTTTCTGACAAAGCAATAACTTACATATTACATATACAGTAGTGCTATATCTATGAAGTAGAATTCACTGAAATTTATTCTTAGATCACTGTATATAAATTTATAGTTTCAGTATACAATTACTGTTTGTTATGGTACGTTCTATGCTAAATTAAGTGTCCAGGTAAATATCTGCTTCTGAGCACTCAGGAAGAATTTTCACCAGTTCCTTTTTTGCTTCCCCCCCCCCCTCTTTGGGAAAGAAAAGAGAAAATACTCCAAAGTTGGGCTACCTGTGACCATGTAAACTGTGTGGCTTTATTGTTTAAACAAGCACATCTATAAATTGTGCTTATCCACTCTTTTCCACTCTTAATAGGATATGAAGGATCAGATGTCAAATACTTCTGTTCAAGCACTGACTGAAAGGAAGAATAGGCAGGTTTGTATTGCTTCTTTATTGTCTTCTGACTTAACCACAAAATCTGATAGATGTTTCAGAAGCTTTTTATTGAGTATTCAGTATTTAAATATTATACATTAGTGACACATCTAAAAGGAAGTACTGTTGCTTCAGATAATACAGAGCCTCACTCCGAATGGCATAAGAGACTGCCAGAACATTGTCTTCTGGTCTTCATTCATACATTTTCCTATAATCTGGGAAAGAGAAGATGGTCTTCCCTGAAGAAAATCCAAATGTTATGTGCTATCAAGTTGCCTCCAACTCATGGTTCAGACCAACCCATCCAAACGCATAGTGTTCTGTTATGCGTTTTTGGAGGTTTTGCATAGGACTACAGCAGTAACCCCTTCTCCATTCTTTTCTGTCAGAATTGGAGGCAGAACAATGGTAAGCCAGCCAATCTCCACTGCCTCTCTTCCATTTACATATTGTTTAGGATGGGGTGGGATGGAGTTCTCTTCTCCTGCTCTGTCTGGCTGTGTGTCTTTCCAGGGAGGTATTTTTATTTCACGTGTAAAATCCATCAAATTTAGATCTTGGGAAGCATAGCTCCATCTTAGATTCTCATAAGTTTCTGGATCCGTTATATCCCTGAACCAGCAAGCTACTCCAGAATGTAGGGTGTAATAAAAAGAGTACTCTTACTGGCTATTTATTGATAGTGTTTGTAAACTTCAGGATCTCCTTTAATTGTCTGCCTTCAAACGAAAACTGTGCAATTACTGTTATTTCTTTTGTGTGGAAAAAGCCACTTTCCAGAATAAACTACTACAAGATTGGTCATCAGAGAAGCAATCTCTGTATTCAAAAGTATAAAACATGTTATGATCACATCAGACTGAGGCATGAAATATATTCTTTAAACGGGAAATAACTGCCCAGTTTCTGCATTTCTTGACTGCTGTGTAGGTACTTCTGGGAGAAAGTGGAAGTCAAAGCTGGAGTTCTGGAACTGATAAGTATGGCCGTTTGGATCGAGAAATGCAGTCTGTGAACTCACACTTCATTGAGGAGCAGCAGGCACAACAGCAGGTAGAATGATTCGTAAGATTAGCTTCACACAGGCAACCTCATGTATATGAGGAGGTATTTTTATTTTTCAGAGGACATCCATTCATATGTCTAATGGAATTTCCTAATAAGGTCGTCAGGCCATTCAGCAACAGTCATAAGCACAGACAATCTTTACAATCCCATGAGAAAACAGATATGGGAAGGATGGAGGTGAAAAGAAAAGCAGGAAGTACTAGGTAACAGAAATGAGAGAGAATGGGGAGGAGGTCCTGCAAATATTTAGGAGCCAGAGTGAGGGATTCATAGGGTTATAGGAAGGAGAGTGAGTACTGCTCTTCTTCTGCTCTAGCAGGAGCCTGCTGGAGCCCCTTTTGCTGTAGAGCAATACCAGCGAGTGGACATAGGTATATTCATCCTGCACACCATGTCATATCAAAATCGCTAGCAGGGGGAGTCAGGGGGGAGGGCATTACTCTGGTACTAATAATATGCACAAGATGTTCCTCTTTTTGCAACATGTTCAAATCTTGATCTTTGTAAATCTCAGGGCAACAAGTTGTTTCCATATAACATTGTCCTGTGGTTGTGTAGCTTTCTTCTGTCTGTTGGTGTTCTTGGATTTCTTTACATGCAGATATGAGCAATTGGCTGTTCAGTAGCCCAATCCAGCGCTAAGCAGGAATTCCCCTCAGACATAGCCCTGAACCCAAGGGCTTCCTCTTCTTTATCATTTTCTGTTAGCTCCTTTCTCCCAGCCTGACACAGGCAAAAGGCTCTCTGACCCTTTCACCATTAAACTTCCCTCAAGAATTCAGCTTCTTCTAGGAATTCAGCTTTCCTCAAGAATTCAGCTTCTCTTCTAAAGAGAATACAGTGGGAGCTTGACTTACAAACATCCCTATCTACGAACATTTCGACATATGAACAGCTCCGTTTGCAAAAATTATTGTTGACTTGCGAACGGAGCCTCAACCTATGAACGAAAAAAGGCCTTCGGAGGTCTCAAAGGGCTTCCTCTGATGTTGAGGGGGAAAGCCCTTTGAGACCTCCGGAGCTAAAAAGGCAGGGGAAAAGGGCAGGAAATTTGAATTTCCAGCCCTTTTCCCCTGCCTTTTTTCTTCCCCCGGAACGCATTGATCGGTTTTCAATGGGAAATGGTGCTTTGACTTAAGAACTTTTCAACTTAAGAATACAGTCCCAATACGGATTAAGTTCTTAAGTCAAGGTACCACTGTAATGCCAACTGTGTATGTATTTTAATCCAAGGATAACAGAGTAGACACATGATATGTTATATAATACTTACACAAAAGATTGTGGTTAATTCTGCTAATATTATGCCGCCTAGAGTATTAAATAAATAAATAAATAAATATTAAGAGTCTTACTCAAAGGAAGGAACATATGGCCCTCTACTGTAGATGTTACTATTCTACAAATTCCCTTATTTCTAACCTTTGATTACATGGCTGGGGTTGACTGGAGTTGCAGTGCAAGAGCATTCAGAAGGTGAATGTCCCCCACCTGGTTGAAGTAAATCATGCACTAAGTAAATCATAAACTGAGTTTTGGGCAAGCATGCGTGGCAGAGAGGCAAGGATGCCATTTAGAGAAGGAACTACTAAAGAGGAAATGTAAACCATGTCTCTGAGACCATGTGTTGTTCCTTCTTAATATTATCTTGGTGAAAAAACTGTACCTTCATCATGGTGTCCATGTATGCACATAAATGGGGTTTGCACCTGCGTGAACGGCAGTTCAGAAAGTTCCAGCCTCAAAAGCATCTTTGCCTATACTGTGCAAGCACAGTCCCATTCTCCTCAGTACGTTCACCACCACATGTACATTCACCACCACAACAGCACAAATTGGTTTGCTCTGGGTGCTCTTTTCACTTACTTGTGTCATATTTGCAATACATTTTTGCGTATTGCAAGAGAGAGTTATTTTTCCTTAGTGGTCCCCCACTCCCCTCATGGCTCCTAGCTGTTCCCCTTTTACTGATTTATGGTATCTGCCTTAATAAAGAAGCATGCTACTTGTGGCAAAAAAATGCCCCAGTTGGATGGGCACAACATGTGCCTTTTTTACTTAGAGGAGACCCACCTAGTCCAGTCATGCAAAATTTGCGAGAGGTTTAGTACTCTCACTCTTAAAAACCATCAATCCTGCCTTCATTCCTTTCTTTTGGAGCAATCCCTTCGGGCTACTGATTCTACTTTTGGGGGACACCCAACTCCAAAAGCCAGTCACAGAAGTCATGGACTTAGCAGTGCCACTGGACAAGTCCTCTACCCTGGACCGTGAGGTGTCCTTGGCCTCGAAACTGTCTTTGATCTCTACCAAGAAATGGGAGCACGATCGCTGCAAACATCCCACAGCCTCTAATATGAATCCTGCCAAGAAGAAGAAGAATGACAGCCTACGAATACTGAGCTTCTCGTGGTTACCTTGGACTCCCAACTGCCTGTTTGAGAGCCTGCTTCTGCTCATACTACCAATGTCCAGTACACAGTCTCAGTTTCAGAGGGTGAATGCCTTAGCCTGTCTGTGCAGAATCTTACCATCTCTCTGAGAGTTCCCTCTCCTCAAAAGTCTCCACAAGAGCCGTCCTTTCCTCATTTGTCTGAGGGTGAACGACAATTCAGATGACGATCTCTCCCACTGGCCCAATGGTTGGCCTCACCACAGCACCGTGGTCAGGAATACCCAAGATCGTACTCAGCTATATTATCTCCATCATACCAATATTGTCTGTGCTCCCTCATCCAGGGCTGGCCTCCTCCCTCAAAAATCTACCAAACTGCACCTCACGCAGGACCAACACCTTCAAGCTGCCACACATACTTTGACTGTTCGACCCTTCTCACTGCAAGTACTTCTACCACCTCCTAATCCACACTGCATACTTCTTGTCTGCCATGTGATGATCAGCAGATCCAGGTGACACCTTCCATTCCTGTAATAACCAGTCAGAGGACAGCTCATATGATTCAGGACCAGGGGAGGGAAATGAGTTGGATCTCCTCCCAAGCCTCTCACCTGATCCAAGTGTTCAGGACTCTGCTCCTTTCTCATTCTCAGAGGACCTCTCCTTGTGTAACAACCTGATAGAATGGCAAAGTTGTTACATTTCCCAGTCTTTAAACCAGGGCCACCAGCAATAGACACTGTCTTTGTCCACGTTCATAAAGAATCCAAATCCCAGTGGATATGGCAGTGCTTGAGACTCTAACTGATCTCATTAGCCAATCATGGCAAAACCCTTCCTCCACTGCCACCCCCACATTACACCAGATTCAAAACTTCTATAGAGTCTGACAGGACAAGGCTACATTTCTTTTTAAGCATCCTATACCAAACTCTGTCATTGTTCAGACTGCTCCACTCAGATCCAAGGGCTCTTCCTGGGATACACCTGCTAATAGGGAAGGCTGTAAACTTGACCTGGTAGCCTGCAATGTTAGTCATTGGCAGCACTCCATATGCACATAGCCAACTACCAAGCCATGATGGAAACTTACCACCAATTCATTTGGGAGGAATTTCAGTCTGTTATTGAAGTGCTTCCCCAGGAGAAGCAGATGCTTTGCAGCCTCCTTCCAGCAAGAAGCTTACGCACTTGCCAGCCAGCAAATCCACTCTGCATGCCATGTTGCAGATGGTGCAGTGAAGAGCATGGCAGCGATCACTCTCCTTGGCTCTGCTCAGTGAGTCTTCCTAAGGATTCTAAATCATGTGTTGAAGACCTACCCTTCAATGGGAATGGTCTTTTCAGTACTAAGAAGGATGACTTCATGCAGGACTTGCACAAAAAGAAAACTTATGCCAGAAAAATGAGCATCACCATGTATTGTTCAGCACCACATTTCTGCCCTCAGTGGAAGCGCTCTCTTCCACACACCATCTATGTCACCATCTGAGAAGTCAAATTCATCAGACCCATCTGCCCATCAGAGGTTCAACTAGGCTTCCTTCTCTACAAGATACAAACCACCAGCCTTTACCAAGAAATCATAGAGGAAGCCTAAACAGCAGTTTTGACAACCTACAGCCCAGGCTTGACATTCGCCACCCTCTCCATAATATATCCATGCATTCAGACATATGTCTGGTGCTCTTCCTTCACATCTGGTGCACTATCACCTTAGATACCTGGGTTTCTCAACATCATCGCCCATGGATACACAATAGAGTTCTCTAGTCTCCCACTCACTGGGCACATTTGACGCATTCCATTCCCCCCCCCCAACCTCTTAGAAGTTAATGCCTTGTTGGCAAAAGGAGCCATATCACCGGTGCCTCTTCATTGTCTCTCAGATAGCTTCTTTTCCTGGTACTTTACTATACCTAAAAGGGATGGGGCACTGTGCTACATTAGACCTGCACACCCTGAATTACCCCAAAACATTTCTGGATGGTGACACTGAAGTCTATCCTCCCCTACTTTAACAAAGGGACTGGTTCACATCTATAGACCTGCAAGACAAGTATTTCACATTTTAATTCACCAACAGCATCGCCATTTACTCAGCTTTCTCGTTGGTCACCAGGATTACCACTTCCATGCACTCCCCTTTGGCCTCTTGATGGCCCCAAGGGTCTTCATGAAATGCATGGCGCTGGTGGCTGCTTTTCTCAGGACATGGGGCATCACCATCTCTCCCTACATTGATGATTGACTCCTAGTGGCACATGATCAAAGCATTCTGCAAGCCAACATTGACTTCATTCTGCAAGTGCTTTCAAGTCTCACGTTTCATGTAAATGTGGAAAAGTCACACCTCTCTCCCACTCAAGTCATTCACTACATTGGGGCAACTCAAGATGTGAAGCAAGCACAGGCTTTTCTTCCTCAGCCACAAATGGACACTATTATACACCTTGCTCAGAAACTTATTTGGGCCCAGCATGGAATGTCCCACTCAGTGCAACACTTTTGGGGCATATGGCATCCACCAAAGCCATCTTGCCCTATGGCAGACTCAGAATGCGACTACTCCAGTCTTTCTACCTCCTCACCTACAACAACAGGAGGGATTCCCTCACAAAAAAACTTTCTCTTTTGGCACGGCTCAAACATCAACTTCTCTGGTGGATGGTCCAGAGTTGCCAATGAGTCGGGACTTCATTTCATCAGCATCACCCAGTCACCGACACAAGTATGACAGGATGGGGCGCACGTTGTCATCACAGTACAGGCTTTGTGGTCCACTCATGAGATCCCCACCACATCAACTTCCTCAATCTTCTTGCCTTTTTCAAGGCATTACAGCTGTTCAGGACTGTGATCTGCAGCTGCACTGTCCAGATCATAACAAACAACACTGCTGCAATGTTCTGCATGAACAAACGGGGCACCAGGTCTCTAAGCATCTTGTATCTGTCTTGCCTCCTTTGGAAGTCGTGCATCGCCCATCACATTTCTCTGATAGCAACTTACATCTCTGGTACTGACAGTGAGACGTCTGCTAAACGGTGACTCATAACCCATGAACTGTCTGACACAGTCTACAACTACCTCATCCTCCAATGGTGCAAACCCTCAGTGAACATCTTCACAACTGCCAGCAACTCCAAATGCACCATGTACAGACAGGCCTTCACCATAGACTGGACAGGAAGCCTACTATACACGTTCCTCCTTTTCATCTGATCCAGCGCACACTCGTGAAAAAATCCTCCACAGCAGCTCCAGTGTACTTATCACCTCCTGATGGCCTTGCCAACAATGGTTTATGACCCTGCTCTTTACTGCCTCCAGCAGGATCCATCTCCTCCTGGGCCATAACCTCCTTTTTTGCCAAAAGGGAGTGGTCCTGTATCCAGACATTCCTCACCTGAAGCTCACCGCTTGGAGGATAATCCTCTCCTTGCTAACATCTTGAGTCAGGTCCAGCATCCATCCAACAAACCACCTCTAAGGCTGCAAGTGGAAGAAATTCCAACTCCATAGATCTTCATGTGGTCTGCTGGACTCGCCATCTTCCTTATCTGTTGTCCTGGACTTTCTCCTGCACCTCAGGCAACAGAACCTTTCCATCGCTTCCTTAAAGGTCAACCTTGCGGCTGTTGTAGCACACCACCAGCCAGCCACTCTTCTTCCCACTTCTTTACACACCAGACCATGTTCTACTAGAATTTTTTATTTCAAAGGAAACCAAAGCAGTATATGCTGGATTTTTAAAAAGCCAATTTTAATGAAGTTAGAACAAGGATAAATGAGGTCTCGTGGCAGGAGATCCTAAGAAGAAAAAGAGTCCAGGAAGGGTGGGAACTTCTAAAAAAAGAAATTCTAAAGGCACAACTACAAACAATTCCAACAAGAAAAAAAGGTGGGAGACAGTAAAAAAAAGTTCAGTGTGGCTTCACAAAAAGCTCAAAGACGACCTGAAAACAAAAAAGGACTTGTATAGGAAGTAGAAGGAATGTCAGACCGCAAAGGAAGAGTACGGACAAGTAGCAAGGAATTGCAAGGATGGCATTAGGAGGGCAAAAGCTGAGAGTGAGCTGCTGGAGACATAAAGCAACAACAAAAAAGCATTTTTCAGGTATGTGTGTAGCAAAAGACAAAGAAAAGAAACTGTGGCTCAGCTACTCAGTGGAGATGGGAAAATGACAACAGAAGAAAAAGAAAAGATGGAAGTGTTCAGTTCCTATTTTTGCTCAGTCTTTTTCCAAAGGATGGACTATGACTCTCCAGACAAATGTGAAGTGAAGGTGGACAAGATTGCAGCTGAGGATTGATAAATCTTATTACTATGAATGAGTTCAAGTCTCCAGGGCCAGATGAACTGCATCCAAGAGTATTGAAGGAACTGGCTGAAGAACTGTCGATTTTTTTCTTGAAATAATGGGAAATGGGTGAGGTTCCAGATGACTGGGGGAGGACTAATGTTCTCTCTATCTTCAAAAAGGGCAAAAAATAGGAATCTGAGAACTACAGATTAGTCAGGCTAACATCAATCCTAGGGAAAATTCTGGAACACATTATTAAGTGGTCACTCTGCAAGCACCTTGAAAACAATACAGGAACAACTTAGAAGCCAACAGAGATTTTTCAAAAACAAATCCTGCCAAACAAATTTGATCTCATTTTTTGATCAGGTAAATTCCCTGATAGACAGAATGCTGTAGACAAAATGCCCCATGATATTCTGATTAGCAAGTTTACTAGGTGTGGGCTGGATACAATATCAGGTGGATACACAGTTGGCTACAGAATTCTACTCAAAGGGTCATGATGAATGACTCCTCCTCATATTGGGTGGAGGTAACAAATGGGGCTCAGTCCTGGGCCCAGTGCTATTCAACATTTTTATTAATGACCTGTATCAGGGGGTGCAGGGAATGCTAATCAAATTTGCAGATGACACAAAAATGGGTGGAATAGCTAGCACCCTGGAAAACAGAAACAAAGTTCAAAATGATCTAAAGAGGCTTGAGCACTGGGCTGAAAAATAACAAAATGAAATTTAACAGGGATAAGTGGAAAGTATTGCACCTAGGAGAAAGAAACCAAACACACAGTTACAAGATAGGGGATACCTGGTTCAGCAATACTATGAATGAGAAGGATGTTGGAGTTGTCGTAGATCACAATCTCCAAACCCCATGAGGTACTAGTTCTCCTCTATTCAGCACTGGTTAGGCCTCATCTTGAGTATTGTGTCCAATTCTGGACACTACACTTTAAGAAAAATGCTGAGAAATTGGAACAAGTTCAGAGGAGGGCAACAAGGATGATCGGGGGCTGGAAACCATGAAGAAAGACTGAAAGAATTGGGCATGTATAGCCTTGAGAAAAGAAGACTGGGGGTTGACATGATAGCACTTTTCAAATACTTGAAAGGCTGTCATACAGAGGAGGGACAGGATCTGTTTTTGGTCATCCCAGAGTGCAGGACACACAACAACAAGCTCAAGTTACAGGAAGCCAGATTTTGGTTGAATGTCAGGGAAAATGTTGTGATGTTTGCCCCTTTGTGGCCCGTTTCTCTTCCAAACACAGGGAGCTCATGAAGGCAAACCAAACAACCAAACAAAAACCACTTTTTTTACACTCTGCCACCAGTTGATTCACTAAATCAATAGGCTTTGCTTAGGAAATATGAAGGTCCATTCATCACTGTCTTTTGAATAAAACAGGTTTATTGATTACAGATGTTTCTTTAATAATTCATAAGTATCTTCTTCGGGTTCATCAAGCATCAATAATTTTCTATATTATCTTACAGGTTATTATTCACTCTTCAGACTAATCACTCCTCAGATTCCCAAACTAACTCCCTCTCTAACTCTGATTGCACTGAACTCTACTTTCCCTTCTCCTCTAAGGCTCTGCCTTTTAACCTCTCTAGTGGCCCCACCTCTCAACCACATCAGCATACAACATGAATAATGCATGACTTATTTAACATAATAAGGGTGAACGCCACAATGTCCTGTTAGAGCAGTATAGCAATGAAACCACTTTACCTTGAGAGATAGTGAGTGTTCAAACACTGAAGTCATTCAAGAGAAATTTAGAAAACCATCTGGCAGATATCTTTTGATTTGTTCTCTTGCATTAATCAGGGGGTTGAACTCTATGGCCTTATAGGCCCTTTCCAACTTCATGATTCTATGTAACTTCTGAAGGGTGTTCAAAATGCCTACCTGGACATGCGGCCCCCACAAGACCCTTGGTCTCTCACACAGGTTTTGTGTCAGCTCACCAGGCACTATTTTGAACCTCTGGCTCCAACAGAGGTCCATCTGCTGACCTTTAAGACAGCCTTTCACATCTGCCTACTGGGCAGTGGAACCAACAGCCCTCCACTGTGACCCACCATACCTGGTTTTCTCCTGTGACAAGGTCACCTTCCATACAGATATAATCTTTCTCCCCAAGGTGGCCTTCCAGTTCCACATGTTGCAGCCCTTGATTTTACCTACCTTTTATCCTTTGCCACAGACTGACCTCAAATGGTCACATTCTCTGGATGTTCGGAGGGTCTTGGCATTTTTACTGGACAGAACAAAGGATTTTAGACAAACCGGCTTGTTGTCTACTATTGGGGTCCAAGAAAGGGACATCCAGTTTCCTCCCAGTGTTTCTCCAAATGGACTATCTTGGCCATTTCCATCGCTTACCAACAAGCCACTGCCTAAAACTCCAGAGTCACTTTGCCAGGGGAGTCTCATCCTCTGGTACCTTCCTACAGGGCATGGATATACAAGATATTTGCCAAGTGGTGACATGGTCACAAACTCTGCCTCTTATCACTCATTACAGATTAGACCTCAGAGCCCAGAAAGATGCCTCAATTCACCTGGTGTTACTATCCTCTGTTTTGACTTAACTCCCACCTCTAAACCTTAGCTTGCCAGTCACCCCATTTGTGTGCATATAGGGATGTCACAATTAAGAAAATATGGTTACTTATGGTAACTGGTTCTTCAAGTAGTGCTCCATGTATCCATACAACCTGCCCACCTTTCTTTTTGTTTCACCTTCTGTCTTGAGGTGGACATCTGAGGAGAGCAGGGGCACAGTTGTGTGGTATAGGCAAAGATGCTTTTGAGGCTCTGGAACTTTCTGAACCGGCATTCACTCAGGTGCAAACTCCATTATGTGGACACATGGATCACCACTCAAAGAACTACAGTTATGATAAGTAACCATATCTTTTCCTTATTGGTAGATTTTAGATGCTCAGAAAGTTCTGCTTGAAGTCAGCATCTCTGACTCTCCTTTTAATGGTACTTGAATGACACATACTTTTAACTATATAATCTTTGCCTTCTCCTTTTTGATACCAGTTAATCATTGAGCAGCAGGATGAACAGTTGGAACTGGTCTCTGGTAGCATTGGGGTGTTAAAGAACATGTCCCAGCGCATTGGAGGGGAGCTGGATGAACAGGCAGTGTGAGTACTAAATTCTAGTCTTATTATGTGCTGTATAATCTCATAGCAGTTAAATTACCTTCTTATTGACTTTGTGCCCTCTATTTGGGCTTTTCTGGAAAAGACAGCAATTCATTATTGAAAGCTGTGTTGGATTAAATGGAATAAGGGTTGCATTCTCAGCCACCACCGAAAGCATCCACTTTACCAAGGGATATGTCGAAAGCTAAGAATAGTTTGCCTTAGGTGGACTGAAGTGCCCTCACCCCCAAACGTTTACATTTGCTGAACATTTGGAATATTTGGTCCTGTTTACCTCCCCTACTGTGAAAAAAATATATTTATTGAATTGAGTCAGCAGTATTTGTTCTATTTATCTATTCTTTTCATGTCACTTGATGGATGTCTGCAAGTTTTTATCTTTACCTAGCAGACTGGGCCACTGAGTATAGTGGTTAAGAATCCTAGACTAGGATTCAAGAGTCTAGGTTCCAGGAGGAGAGCCAGGTATGCTGCCTTGAGCTTTGCAGTAGGAAAGGTAGAATAGGTGTATTCAGAATTAAAGTGTAACAAATAAATGACCATAATCATGGTGGTGGTCCTGTAAGGTCTACATAACATGCTGCAGCTAATTAATGAGGTGCTGGAGCACATCTCCATTGCAGAATCAGGTATGTGAACAGGTACATTATCAATTAGCTACAGCAAGTTATGCAGATGTTATATGAACACTAGTTGGAGTCTGGCCAAATAAGAGTAACCACTTGATGGGGAAATGGAGCTGAATTGGCTATTTAACATGACATGGAAGATATTTGGAGTGTCCTCATTGGAGGTTGGGGTGGGGCTATGGGTGTGTTTTCTTAAAGATTTCCCATCAGATTATTTTTTCCTAATAAAAATCTCCCTCTACACTCTGTTTACCACCTAGAGTCAATGATCTGGGTCCACATGCCTTACCCTGCAAGGAGAAAAGGAACATGGGGCTGGGGTTTCTAGCCAGAAGCAAAAGAAAATGAAGCAACAGCACCATTCCCCACAAAGAAATGGTTGAACTCGCCATTACCTGATCATATTTTTTGTTTTATTTATTGAAATTACTTTATACCATTCTTCCTCCTATGGGATGAAGCATATAGTTACTATAGCAATACAAATACAGCCAAGATACGTAAAGCCAGACTGATTTTTGCCAAGATTATGGCCTAGGGCAGTGATGGTGAACCTATGGCATGCGTGCCACAGCTGGCACGTGAAGCCCTTTCTTCTGGCATGCGACATCCCCCTTTCTCTTCCTGTTCTGGGTCCTTTAACTTCCTGTCCATCCCCATGATTCCCCCTTTAACTTCTGTCCATCCCCATGATTCCCCCTTTAACTTCCTGTCCATCCCCATGATTCCCGCTGAAACTGCCACTTCCTGTTCTGGTTCTGGTCTTCCGGGCGGCATGGCAGCCACTGGTTTCTTCCCCACCCCCTCATTTTGGGCACTCAAGCCAAAAAAGGTTTGCCTCCACTGGCCTAGGGAATACAAATATTTTTGTCCTGGCACTTAGAATAGTGCTGAACAGACCATTTTTTCTTTGTGCTAGGGAGACCTTTAGGGGTGGAGGTATTCCATAACTAAGGTACCACCTTTGAGAGAATGCATTCAGTGTGGCTGAGCCGGTGAAGGAAGCCCTGCCACAAAGAGTCCTTTGGCTCTGAATATTAACATGGGAAGGGGAGGACAGGCCCAGTGTCAAAACTTGTTCCATGTAGCATAATGCAACATTCTCTCCTCATTTCTGGTGGTTCCAGTATGTTAGATGACTTCGCTCATGAGATGGATAACACCCAGTCGCGGCTAGATAATGTGATGAAGAAGCTTGCAAAAGTATCTCATATGACCAGTGGTAAGTAGCCTGGAATAAAATGGAAATGTGTCGCAAGATGTTAAGTCTTCTCTCATTGCAGGTCCTGAGATAGGAAATGGTTGCTCATGGTTAGCAAAAAGCTTCTGAGGAGGTCTGAAGAGGAGGAGACGGTTTCTGAAGTAATTCAGGACTTTCCCGTAGCATGATTTTAGGGGGTGCTTTTGTTTCCAGTAAAGTTTGAGTGAGGAATTGTGGCCCTGCAGATGGTGGTGCCACAATAATCAGCCCAAGTTGATGTAGCCAAGAATGAGGCATGTTGGGACTTACAATCCATGAGCATCTGGAAGGTTGCAAATTCTCCATCCCTGCAGTAAAGGATTTGAAATGGACCCTTTTCTTCAGTTGAGGAATGGCTACTATGGAATGTATTTGACATTTCACAGCACCGTGAATGACTAGTATCTCGAGCATTAGAGGTCTGTTTTGACTTTACACAGTATAATAGCTCCCAGTGTGCAGAAAGAATCCTTATATGGAGCAGCTATGGGTTTTGTCCACAGAGGTTTGTTTGTCCCATCTGTGCTACTGTGGCATTTCCCATGCCTTTCTGATATCATCCCTTTTTGAGATCTCCATGAACTCTAGCCCTATTCAGGCATTAAGTCTCAAAGCATGTAGGGTTCAAAAGGTGGAGAGGTTGAGGGAAGGCATGTAAGCTTTATCCATCAATGTTCGTCACCCAGAAGTCATGCAGCCCTTCATGTGTTTCCCTCAAAGATCTACACAGGGACTTTTATAATATGCCTTGAACGCATTCAGTTGAATTTGCTTGCACTATCTACGCAGGCCTTCTCAGTGAACTTGTGAGGGTTTGCATGACTTCCAGGTGAGGAGGGGGCTTTTGAGCCCTCCACACTTTCAACCTGAATGAGACTGTTACTCCAAGACGTTAGTGCCAGAGGTGCTTGAGTGACTTCTGAAGTTTCTGGCAGATGTTTACTTTTCACTTTGTGGGCTAAAATTCTGATCCTTTTACAGTTATAAATTAAACACAGGCACAGGTACTTCGTATTCATATAGCAGGATATGAATACAACCCATAGCACCACAAGTGCTGTGAGGGTCCAGTTCCCTCCTCCAGAACCAGCTGGGCCACTAACCAGGCTCTTAGTGGCGGTGGGGGTCTGCGGCAGCGATGACACACAAGTCCCAAGAGGAGCCTGGCTGGCTCTTCCCTGCCTTGCCGCACAGCTAGCTACTCATCAGCTCAGCAGGGAGACTCCCCATCCTGCCTCCGCGCCAAAGTGGTTGACTGTGTGGTGAGGCAGGGAAGGGTTAGCTCAGCTCCTGCTGGGATTGGTATACCACTGCTGCTGAAGGAATCCAGCATTGCGCAGAGCCCGATAAGTGGCCTCTGTGGCACCTGTTGTGCTGCAGTTCATATTCATATCCTGAAAATATAAATATGAATTGCCCATATGAAGTGTTCCAGTGGGTGCAGTATTAACAAATATCCTTTAAATTCTCATCGTATATATGTTTTCCTATTTTTCTGCATTCCTCTTGTTTAGACAGACGAGAGCAACAGTTACCATCTGGGCAGGGCTTAATATCCCAAGAGAATAGAGAGAATGACCATACTTTCCTATGAAGAGGTATTCAAATATCTGTGTTCATCAGAATCCATGAAAAAAGGAAAGAAAGCAGTTAATACCCCTCCAACAGCATTACTATTATGGTGGATCTTCCTTTGGCAAAAGAAGTATTGAAAATATTCTGAAGTGATTTGACTTCCCTTATAGTGATGGTGAGGCCATGTGAAATGTAGGCGTGCTAATACAGTATGTGCACCATAATCTCTGAAACTGTTCAAACACAGTGTGGAAAGGATTCCTTGAAATGGAACTTTTCAAAAACAGTATTGCAGAACCCTGAAAGAGGGCAATTAAAAAAAGAGGTGGCAAATACAGTGGTGCCTCGCTTAACAATGTTAACTGGTTCCATTAAAAAATCGTTATGTGAAAACATCGTTAAGTGAAATTCCCCCATAGAGAACATCGTTAAACGATGGGGGAAATTCCTCAAAGAAACCCATCGCTGTGTGAATTCATTGTTGTATGAAGCAATCGTTGTGCGAGGCACCACTGTATTTGTGTTCCTTTCAATCATCTGGATTTAATTGTCTTTACATTGGTACACAGAAAAAAAGAGCTTGTACAGTCATGTGAAAAAGAAATTGCACCCTCTTTGAATTCTATGGCTTTATGTATCAGGATATAATAAAAATCACCTCGTCCTTAGCAAGTCTGAAAATTAGGTAAATATAACCTCAGATGAGCAACAGCTCATGACATACTATACTGTGGCATGGTTTATTTAACAAAAATAAAGCCAAAATGGAGAAACCCTGTGTGAAAAACTAAGTACTGTACACATTATGAAGCTTTTAGAACCACCTTTAGCAGCAATAATGTGAAGTAATCATTTTCTGTATGACTTTATGAGTCTCATCACTGGACGAATTTGGCTCATTCTTCTTTACAATATTGCATCAGCTCATTGAGGTTTGCGGGTATTTGTTTATGCACAGCTCTTATAAGATCCCACCACAGCATTTCAGTCAGATTTAGGTCTGGACTTTGACTTTCACATGTTAACTGAGGCCTGTAGAGTCTGAGATGTAACTTGTAGATTTTTTTGCAGTTTCTCTGAGCATTGCAGGGTCTGATCCTGGGGTGAATTTGCTTGGATGTCCATTCCTGGAAATATTGGCAACTACTTTAATGTTTTCCACTTGTGAATAATCTTGTTCAATGTAGAATGATGGATTTTACATTATTTGGAAATGGCCTTATAACCCTTCCCAGATTGATGGGCAGCAACAATTGCTTCTGTACAATAATCACTGATGTGTTTCTTCCTTGGTGTTGTGCTCACTCTAAATGCTCTGGGTCAGCAAACTGCTAAAACTTTGGCTTTTATAGAGGTAGGCACACTTGCTGATGATCAATTACTCAAGGGCATTTGGTTAGCAGCACCTGGCAGCTACTTAGCCTCTTAAATCTTACGGAAGCAGGAAGGGTGTACTTAGTTTTTCATACATGGCTTCTCCATTTGGGCTTTATTTTTGTTAAATATATCATGACATGGTGTAATATGTTGTGTGTTGTTGTCATCTGAGGTTGTAGTTACTTAATGTTCAGACCTGCTAAGAACCAGGTGATTTTTTATCATGTCCTGATGCGTAAAACCAAATAATTCGAAGAGGGTATACTTTCGTTTTCTTTTGGAATGTATATCCAATTCTCTAGACCAGTCATCAGTGGCACTAAGTGCAAGACTCAGTGCCTAGTGAGGTAGGGTGTCTTTGTTAAATATATCATGCCTGCCTGCCTGCCTGCCTACCTACCTACTGCCTACCTACCTACTGCCTGTCTAGTGGACACACTACTCCGATCAGTTTACAAATTAAAAACTCTGACCCCCACACAACCCCAATATATCACAAGGAGCATACTGAAATACTACACTATTGGGATTGAGCATGTGTGATACTGTAAAAGAATGATTGCTTTGTGGGCTGTGAGTGGATAGGTAACGAACTAAAGGATCTGCATAGCCCCACCAGCTCATAGCTGTCTCATGTCCCCCTACTGATGGGCATTTTTAAAGCTTTAAATGGAAATCCTAAAGTGCAGAGATAATATAATGGGCCTCACAGAGGCGAAAGTTGGAATGTTTCCTAAAGAATACAGAGCATACTGGTCCTGATGGCTATGCTTCCACACACCCTTAGTTGTAACTGTACTTGGGGCTTCTTTTGGAAAGTGTTTGGAGACTTCTGTGGTTCCAGAATGCTGTAGCCAGCTTGTTAACTGGGACCGGTTGCAGGGATAACATAATGCCCCTGTTACAGCACTTCTACTGGGTGCTAGTCCATTTCCAGACTGTAAAACCCTAAATGGCTTGGGTCCAAGCTATCTCAAAGACTGTGTCTGCCATTATGAACGTGCTTGGATATTAAGATCTTCAGGGGAGGCCTTTCTCTCAGTCCCACTCTCAGTCACAGGTGCTCTTGGTTTGGACATGGGTGAGGGCCTTCTCTGTTGCTGCTTCCATACTCTGGAACTCCGTCCCACAAGAGGCCAGGCTGGCCCATTTTTGCTGTCCTTCCACAAGCAGATGAAGACCTTTTTCTTCAGGCAGGCTTTTCCTTAGTGATTGATTGTCTAGGACGGGGTCCCCAACCCCCGGTTCGTGGCCCAGTGCCAGTCCATGGCCATGGCAGGACCAGGCAGCAAAGACAAATCTGCCCCCCTCACACGCACCCACGCACCCACCCCACCTGCATGCACGGCCTGCCACTTGCACACACGGATGCCCCGCCCCTCCATGAGCGTGCCCCACCACTCGTCCATGCACGCGAGTGCATTCTGCCCCGTCACGTATGCGCACAAGTGCGTTCTGCCCCATTGCGTGTGAGCGTGCCCCTCCACAAGTGCTCCCCGTGCCCCCAACCGGTCCGTGACTCAGAAAAGTTTGGAGACCACTGATCTAGGAGACAATAAACAGGATGGGTTATATTTTGTTGCTTTTCAATTTCTTTTTTAATGCTTTTTCCTAACATTTTAAATTTGTTGTTAATTCTTTAATATTTGAATATTTTACTTTTTTAGCTTTTAATATTACGTTTTTAATAATGTAAGCTGACGGGTTCTTTTTTAGGAGAAAGGCAGGGTAAAATTATCTTTAAAAAATAAATAAAATTAGTTCCAGATAAGCTGTTTCAGAAGAACTGTTTCATGTTCTCTCTTAATTTTCGCCTCAAGATGTTAAAACAGTGCATTACATAGAAAGGGATTTCTAGAAAGCAAAGGAGTAATCTGGGCATGTTTTCTTTCAGATCGCCGGCAGTGGTGTGCAATAATTGTTCTTTTTGTTATCCTCCTGGTGGTGCTTATCCTGTTTTTTGTGCTGTGACGGAATGGAGCTCAGATACTTCTCCTAGCTCCCTTCTTGATGGAATCTCAGACACTGTTTCTATTCACCGCAGAGGATTCCTGCCACAGAAAGCCTGTTATGAGAGCTTTGATACGGTGGATACTGCTCTTCTGTGGATGGCCACCAGTGCCGTGACTCTGTATCTATCATGGATCTTCTGTTCATAATCCTCATCATGTTTTCAGAGGGGGAAAAATGGAAGGCTAACAAGTGTCCAAGCTCTACTGTCAAGCAGTTCCTGTGGGTTTGGGACATCTATGATTTTTTGTGTGTGCTCCTCTACAAGGCAGGTGGTTTAGAATGAAAGAGACTATTGTCTGGTCATGTTTCCGTCCAACAATAGGTATGGATGCTTTTCAGAAAGCACTTCAGATGCCTTTCTTCTGTTTCTCAAGACAAGATTCTTGGCAGTTAAAGGTCGGAAAACATCAGGGTGCATGCATGTAGAAACAGATCCCCCTTTCGGGAAACTAGACCATTGCCCGCAGGACTCCCTTTAAAGGCCAGTTACATGACGTAGCCGTGAAAATATGCGTGGATCTGTGAAAGTAGCAAATGGACAGCAAACTAAATCCATACTGTGGGTGTTTTAGTTTTCCTTCAGAACACAATTGTGTATTCACACCATAAAAGGTAAATCACTGTGTGCCTCACTGCTTAAATACTAGATACTAGAGGAAGCAGTGTACATATGGGGTAGAGGTGCACCTGTGCATATTGAAACAAAATGTAACAGGAATCTCAGCATATCTTGGAAGCAGATAAAGGCTCAGCATATCTTCCCGAGGTCTGGGAATTTGGCTGGTGGCTTGATCTCTGCTTTCATTCAGGGGAGGCAGGGCCAGCTGTAATAGTCCCATTCAGATTGTTGGCAAAATCTACTGTATGTGTCTGAACTATAACCATATCATGTCCTCAAGCAGCTATAGTTTGATTCCAGTTTTCAGAGCTTTAACCTGGTTTTACTGCACTGCAAAGTGGAACACTATTAAGTTTACTGTACCTAAAGTCAAGCTGCTTTGTGTGTGTGTGTGTGTGTGTGTGTGTGTGTGTGTGTGTGTGTGTGTGTGTGTGTGAGAGAGAGAGAGAGAGAGAGAGAGAGAGAGAAATATTTCTGGCCTTATGAAAAGAAAGGCTTACCCATAGAGAGTTTGCTCCTTGATATTTCATCTGCTTTTTATTAATAGCTGCTTCTGTTTGGACAATGTGTCAGATCTAACATATAACAACAGTTAATAAGGAAGGTGGTTTCTCCTGACTAGGCTTCATTCCATCCTGAGTGTGTGCAATGAAGAGGCTGCACCTGACTAGATAAAGGACATAACATTGGTTATCTAGAGGTATATTCCCCTTTTCATGTTTAGGAAGTGTTAAAGAGAACAGTGGAAGATAGGAGGGCCTGGCGTGCTCTGGTCCATGGGGTCACGAAGAGTCGGACACGAGTAAACGACTAAACAACAACAAAGAGAACACAAATTCATGGGCCATCACAAAAGAAAATAGAGGCTACTCTTTCCATCATAATTCCAGTTCCTTGATAATGGAATAATTTAGCTATTTCAGTTTTAATCTTTTGATGTGAATATCATTTTGATAGTGCAATGGCATTATTATGGACTAGTAAATGGGGAAGATAATATTCAGGGACACTCATGAACTGGAGCCCTGTTAAAATCATGAAGAATGTCCCAGAGGCTTTCTTTGTATTACACAGGCAACTTGCCCTGATCTCTTTTGGAAACCAGCTGTTAACAGTGATGCAGTTAAGAGAATTTTAAACTCAGATTTAACAATGATGCAGCGAGAGAATTTTGAAAGAAAGTCTGAGGGGACAGGGTATGTTCTGATGTTAATGTGTACTATTTCATTGACTCCAAAGAGTGATACTGTATTTTTCGCTCCATAAGACGTACCTCTCCATAAGATGTACTTCATTTTTAGGGGAGGAAAACAGGAAAAAATATTCTGGCAGTTTCAGCCCGCTGGGCCCATGGGGGTGGGTGGAGCCTCGGAAGGGTCCAAGAGTGCCTTCCAGGACCCTTCGGAGGCACGCCCCATGGGGCACTCTCGGCCCCTTCTGAGGCTCCCCCCACCATCCCCCCGCTGGGCCCTAGGGAGCGCTGTTTTACAGTATTCGCTCCATAAGATGCAGACACTTCCCCCACTTTTTTGGGTGGAAAAGTGTGTCTTATAAAGCGAAAAATACGGTAATATAGCCCTCTTAAGTAAACAGGGAGATTCTGTTTATTTTTTTTTGAGTAGGGCCCTCAGCATGTGCCCCAGAATCCACTGCCTCCTAGCCAGTTGTAACCCTTCTCCCTTTAGAACCCTTTAGAACCCAGGGCGCAGGAGATACCAGAGCCCAGCTATGGTGGACAGTGTTATGAGCCCACTTTTAAAAGCATACAGAAAAATCAAATTTACAGTTTCAGCGAGCCATCAGAAATTGAAGGCATCAGACTTTTCTTTTTTCTCTTTATTAATATAACAAAGTATTGCAAAACGTAAATGACAAATAGAATCACACCACTGGCAGTATAGATTTATATATTCTCATCAATACGTTCCCCCTTAATTTATATCATGTGCCTCATCTCTTTAAAAAATGCTTCTTGCTTTGGGGTATAACCTTTTATGTTTTGTAAATGACTTCAACACAAATGTGGAGTACTGCCTCACCAGGTTTCCAAGAAGAAGTATAAAGAACAGCAGTTCATCTGTAGTGGATGAAGTTGATAATTCCTGAGTGATTTCCACTGGAGCAGTCATGTAAGTCTCTTAACAGCAGAATAATAGATTAGGTTGTGGAGGAAAAAATTATGAAATATTGAATAACATGTGATGGATGAGAAAGAAACATGGCTGAAACAAACAACATTGTTCTTTATTGGAGAAGCTTGCACAGTAATGAGAGCTGAGTCTAGTTTTTGAACTTAGCATTCTGCAGCATAGCATTTTCTTTCAGGTTATTTTACTTCATTTTTAAAACAGTTATGTGAAAACTCTTAACTTTTTCAGTGGACTATCTATACTCCGGCTCTTATATCAGGGTATTAATACTGCAGTACTTTCTACTGTCTCTAAGAGACTCTGAATCATGTAGTTTCCCTCTTTAAATCATGCTTGTCTGTAATATGCCCCTCTCACTAAAGAGGAGAGTATTGAACTAACAAAAGTATGTGTGGCTCAGAATGCCTCCCTTTGAATAGCTGGTTTCAGACTACAGTTGTAACAAAGAGGACTTTTGTATGTGTGAACAATTCTGGTATGGCTGCCACTTCGGAACAGACAGACCCTTTGTTTTGAAGTAAATGCCATGAAACAACCACTTTTAGAGATGAAGCTAGAAATCTTCTAACACTTTTCTTTCTTGCTTGCTTTCATAAAGAAAAAGAAGTCTTCTCTTTTATGCCTGGAAATGAAGGGAAAAAGGTGTTTTTTTTTTACAGGTGATGCCAGTGCAGAGCAAAAGAGCTGATCTTCTGTACTAAAAGATAAAAAAACAGAGTATATTAACCCACCCCACTCCATGAAAAACATTGCATTTTGATTTCCTGCTTTATTTAGAATGTGCCTTACTGAAGTTTAACAGATTTTTTGCTGATGGAAAGAATCTTACAAAATGATGATACTGGGTGGATTTTAGAAAGGCACTCTCATTCCTAATGTGAAGTGTAACTTTAAAAAAAGACTAATGAGCCATGTGAGATAATGCTAGATCTTTGATTCAGTGATGCAGTCACCTGCGCGTTGCAGAGGAGTGCCAGATTTATTTGTCTCTGAGGGAAGTTGCACTGGTTGTATCTCTGTGATTAAAACTGCTTTGGGCAACCCTTTCATTCTTTAAGTAAGGAGATTGAGGGCTTCCTTTTTCTAAAAAAGTCTGCATCAGTGGTTTATATATTGGAATTGTGCAAAGCCCTAGGCCCCTGTCATGTGATATAATTTAGGAAGAACAGTTACATTCCAGACAGTTTGAAAAGCTTATATAGGTTTTTCCTGACTTGCAAAGAGCCAGTGTGTAGGTACAACAAGTAACAATAGGTGGACAGCTGCCCGGTTGGTACTCCCCCCCCCCTTGCTGCTGCCCTCGATTGTTCAGTCATTTTACATGTCTCAAGGAACTGGCAGCCAGAATTCTGTGTACTAATAGCAGTACTGGATGGCAGCTGCTAGTTCTTTGATGAGCAGTTTCTGGCTTGTTTCCTTGATTCTACTGGAAAAAAACATGTTCCCAGCTGTATTGGGAGTGTGTCTGTGGCACTCTTGTAAATGTATGCAACACTGCTTCAGCCAACTTGTTTCTGTCTATTTTATTCTCTCTCCTACTCCTGACTTTTCATTCCTTGTTACTCTTCTACTGTTGCCTATTCATTGAGACTAGAGATGGGGGTATTCATATATGAATATGAATAGCCCTGCACAGCTGGACGTAACGAGGATCCGGCCCCCTGGGGCCAGACCGTCCACTCACACATCTGTCAGCGGCTGCTCCACTCTCCCTTCCAGTCACTCCAGAGCTCCCAGTCGGCTATCCGCTTGTCAGCCTGACAGGGAGACTCATTTTCCCTCCTTCCAGGAGTGAATAGCCGACCGGGAGCTCCAGAACGGGGGTACTCTAATTAAGACCTATTAAAATTGGTCAGTGAACATTGATCAGATGCCAAAAACATCTGGTGGAAATAAATATTTTCACTCAGCCACTATTTTCCGCTGCCCTCACCTAGAGGCAGGGCAACACAAGGCAAAGCATATTGTGCTACTTTATAGAAACAGAGAGAGAGAAAAAAAATCCTGTATAATGTTGAAATTATAAATCATGGGAAAGAAGGACACTGTTTCATCTTGTCATTATAGGGCTGAAACCACTGCACCTAACATGATTCCTTTAATAACTAATGCAGGATGGTGACTAAGACTGTGGGTTGCCAGTTTGAAAGGCTCCCCTCCAAGTCATCCCTTAGCCATAAGTGTATTTAATGGGCCGTAGACAACCCTGACTCTTCCTTTGGCATTGGTGTCTGCAGTTGGGAGGCTGCAATGAAATGAGCTCTTCTCCTTCTGCCTTACCTTCCACGTGAGCATAAAGCCCGTGTAGCTTAAATTCTGGGAAAAGAGCAGCTAATTAGCTAGTGGTTGAAGGCTTCAGTCTCACGTTCCCTCCCCACTCCCTTAAGAAGAGGTTTATTATTTATAAATAGATAAGTGATATTTTAATCTGTTTTCTAAATAGGTTTGTGGGGAGCTGGCCACCTGGGCATTAACAGACCATTTCATTTACCTATTACATGACAAATTAATCAGACATGTTTTTAATGGATGTGGTGCTATTATGTGTACTATACTGTATGTACCATTGACTAAACCCCTTTGAATTTGCTGTACAAGAGGAAGAATTGTAACAGAAAAATTATTTGCCATTTTACTTGTAGCACAATATTAGCCACCCAAAATAAAGGTAGGGGAAGTCTTCTAGTGAGCAGAGCTCATAGCTCTTTTTGAAATGCCATGACTGTACAGCATCGGTCTCCAATTTGATTATCAGAGAGTTTGGACTTTGCAGATGTATCTACAGATAGTTTTGGAATATACTGTGAAGATAAACTGTGGTCATTCCTGCCAGTGGTGGGAAAATGGTTATCTAGATGCAAAATGAGACAAGAGATTGCAGTACAGATCCTCAGGTGGTAAGGGCAGAGAAAAGGAGAGAGACTAACCGTTACAACTGAAATGAATAGTGCAATTCTGAAATGCTATCAACCACTGTTTCCTATTCATGCTGTTGGAATCATGTTATGGTTGTATTTTTTAAAAAAGAATCGTGCTACAGTATTAAAAGTGGAGATGGGCTTACCACCTCTGGAGTTTTGATTACATTGCAGTTGATGGGAGTTGCACGGCTGTTAAAAGCCTGAAGAAAAACTGATTTTAATTCATTTTGTTTGGGTCCATGTACAGAAGGGCAAGACAGCAGGCATTCATATTGGCCCATGCGATACCCCTCCACCTTTTCCCGAAAATAATACTGGGAAAATAATACTGGACAGGGAACAGATTGTATTTGTCTTCAGTATGGAATGGATTGTCACTCTCGAATTGGCCTTCTCAGCCACACTAGACGCTGTTCCAAGTCCTCCATACACAGCACGTTACCGTAGTCGCGCGAGACTGAAGGATGCCTAGTTAATACTGTACTGTGTTTCATACTATTCCAAAGAGCTCAGGATGGTGTGTATGATCTTTCCCTACCCCACATGTTTTAAAATATTTGTATTGGGAGGATATGTTCTGTTGAACACTCTAGGTAAGTTTTGCCTTGCCTGCCATGGCAAAGCTCTTTAGGAATGGCATGGGGCATTGCAGATGTACATATGCAGACACAGACATTGTGTTCCAAACAATTGGGGAAGGTTCAGATCACTTAGGAATACATCTAATATTTATTTCTGGCTGACTTATTTATGTTGCTGATAAACAAATTTAATGAACACGTTTATTGCCCATGTATATCGATTTGCTTAAAGGACTGTGTGTAAAAAGAAAATGGGCCTGTGTTGATGGTCATTATTATAAGGGAGAAAACAAAGTATCTCTTTTAAAAAATTCTCTTTTGCAATATTCTTCATCTCAAATGAGAGGGGTTTGCCACAGAGTGATGCAGGGTGTCCTCTACCTGGCAGAGATGCCACTAGTTTATATGCTAGTCAGTCATATTTTCTTTCCCAGAGAATATGAAACCACAAGGGAGAAGCCAGCTCACTTTCCCCCTTTCCCTCCCTGTGTCGTTTAACCACTGACATCCTTTGGCATCTGGAGTTGACCAAGCATGCTCACTCTTCATTGGGCAGTTTCCCTTTTCAAGGAGTTTTCAGTGTTCTGCCTATTTCTGCATGTATGTTTAAACTCTCCCGAACTTGCAGCTTGTTTCTCAGTGGCCCCATTTTGGGACTAACCCT